AGATTTTTTTTTAATCACCAAGACCCTCTTGAACCCTCAATTCGGGAGGACGCAAAAATAGCCCGAGGTCTGTGCCTATGAGCAAAGGGAGGTCCGTTTGTGTCCTCGACGATGCTTGCGGATACCGCGAAGGATGGTTCCGCGGTAACGGGCGCCGGAGTTCTCTCCTCTTCGGTGAGGGTAGGGAGTTAGGGCCAGGGTTTAACTATATTGAGCCCTCAACTAAAGGAACCGCCATATCAATACAGGCCGACCAGAAGGTGAGTCGGCAAAGAAGCTAAGGCACGGGTCCGCACAGAATCGGACGAGCATGGAGAAACGTAAAGCCCAAGACCTCAAAACCCGCAAAACTTGAACCCGAAACCGTACAACCGCGAATCCTTGAACCATAAGAGCCCCAAAGCCCAAAACCCTTGGAGCATCGGCAGAGGAATCCTAAAGACCTAAGCCCGATCGAAACTCTCAACAGTCGCGCTTAATAATCCTTGCTTGTTGCCAACGCGTTCTGTTGATGGCTCGTCTGCATGGCACTTCTTCGTTTCATGACACAGCCTTGTGGCTCAAAGGTCGCCTACGGACTGGGGGCTTCTGAATACTAGGCTTGTCGGGAGCGAACGTACTGATCTGATATTCTGTAGAAGTTGTCTATAAATGATCAGGTCTCCTCGTTGTAGAAGCCCCCATCTAAGTACATAAACAATTTTGGGCAAGCTGCTGGGGCACCCTTGGCTCGCCTGTCTCCCTTGCAGCCTGCAAATCAGGTGTCGGAACTTGAAAGAAGCCTGGCTTGCTCACAGAGCATGCTCCGCAACCGAGATTCCAGCATTGTACAGTATACGATACTACAGTAGACCGCAATACTCTGTAAGGAGTTTTACTCCTGACTTTCTAGGTCCCAAAACTTGGGGTCTGTCGGACTGACCTCCGGGCCCCCCTGTTGGGAGGTTGGCCAACCCCTGGCGCGCCCAGGGCCGTTGCCGCAGGCACTGTGGGCCATGATGTGCCTCAAGCAACGGATGCCAGAAGGACTCACGGAACCAGGTTTCAAAGGCAACCCCACTAATTCAGTCAGCTTCCGGATCTCTACTTAGCGAAGGGCCAAGGGCTTGCAGCCTGCAACAGTCCAAAGTAGGTGGGACCTCTTCGGCTTGGAATCCCTGGGGCTTGAAAAAGGCTTCGCTTCTTGCTGCGTCTGAGCGTTCACCCAATGAAGCCTTGACAATTTGAAACACGCAGAGAACTCAAGACGGCGCCTTGAACAAATCCGGGACCTGACACTTATACTCCGAAACCAAAGACCCATTACGCCCTGACGCCTCCAGTACAAGAGGTAATTAATGTGTGGAAAAACTTGCAGATCCGGTTGCATCGCCAAAGGGCTGGGCCTTGTGACGTACTTGAGAAGCGCCCCCTGCGTCATGAGCATCGTCAATACCCGGTCGTTCGTCACTACGGGTCGCGTTGTGGGAACTCTGCAGTCCAGGCGCAACATGGGAAGACGGAAGCATCTCAACAAATTTAATACATTTCTGTTCGTGGTCCTTGCAAGGACAGAAGGGTGCACCCTCACATGACAAGTACCCATTGATTCCTTTAAACAAGACTTCATTTTGCCAATGAGATAGTGCAAGGATTTGCAATAAGGATTCCTGGTAGCCCATGTTGTGACCACTAGCAGTAAGCTGTTCAGAGAATCAGACCTGTACCGTAAACTCTCCATGTGGATACTCAAATTACATACTGAGCTGCCAAAACGCAGCACTCTTGACAATCTGCTAATCACCATTGCAATCAGCGAAACATAACCCCCCGTTCTAAACCCTTATCCCTGCAAGGAGCCTCTAGCTCGGCATCGGAAACCGCCCGGTGTGGCCAACCTCGCAGCAGCACGAGCACAACAACTCAAATCGTCCTAAGGTTCGGATTTTCGGTTTAGGGAACAGAAAACCACTTTCCATAAACTTAAGCCGCAAGCCCGAGTCTTTGCTTGTAGCAAGTAATTGTAGTGGGCTGCAGCATAACTGCACAGAATGCCAAAAAGTGCAAGTTCACCGCGAAGGCGTCTCGCAACTGTGACTCGGAGGAGCAAAAGGCCCAGAGCCCAAAAGCAACATGCGCCCCAGGCGGGAGCGTGATTTCGAGATTGATGCCCAAACCATGTATTTTACAAAGACCCCCGAATCCTGTCTCCTCCGGACAGGAGCGCGGTTCTTACCCAAAACAAGCGCATCATGTAGGCGAGCGCTCAAGCTTCTTACCCCAAACGTTCGAACCTCGCACTGTGGATAACCCATTTGGGGAAGAAGACATGTACAGTAATTAGTATACTGTAGCATTTCCAGTCACTACTGTAGGTATATAAGCTGAGGCTGCTAATCCAAAGCTATGTAAAGTTACAAAGCCAAGTGGCAAACGACTTCTGGGTTGACTGTATTTTGATATCTTCATCTGTATACTGCACTCAAGTACACGACAGCATTCTATAGCAGACTACCTTCTACAACAACCAATCCTGCAATGGCCACTGGCCGCTGGCTTTGACCCATGCTCGCCTGGCTGTCTTTGCAGGAAATCCCGCCAGCGAATGGCGCTTTCCAGCATTGCTGTGCGGTTTGATTCTTCGTCCGCGATGGCCTCAGTAGCAAAGAGATACCGCGTTCAGTTCCCTTGTTGATGTTTGGGTGTCAATTTATGCTGTGCCAAGGGTGGGCAGGAGGTCTACAAGCAGGAGCGTAGTGGTGCTTGTGACCATACACTGGCCCAGGCTGTGATTGCATGTGCTGTCAAAACGTCTACCATCCGAATAACTCTCCGAGAGGCCGCGGCTTTCACTGCATCCCTGGCTTCGCCAGGATGGATGAGGTCGTCAATGAAGGCTGGCAGCCTTACGATGCGATGCACATTTGAGGGAACACTTCTCCTAATCACAAGCCGAAGTATATAATATAAGGTCATCAAGGACGAGTAGAAGAGCCAGGAAGCGCATTCTCCTTCCGCATCATGGACCCCGACCTCCCCTCCATCTCGCGCACGCGGAGCTCCTGGAGGAAGGAGGTCTTTGTGAAGAACCGGGCATGAAACACAATCAGGGTAACCAGAGCAACCGGCACAACATGTGGGTCATCCAAGAAGGGGTTAGAATGGACTTGCTCTGGGTTCAGTGGAAGCGGGAAACAGCTTCCGCTCTACATGTACCGGAAGTACGTAAAACATGCAAGTTGCACCCATTTGTATGGCATAACAATTGAAGTTTTTCCTGAACACAAAACCCTGAAGCAAGGAACAACATGCGGATTGGTGCAGTACAACTCCGCATAACAGTCGCGCTTGTACACAGTAACCTAATTACTTGTGTCATAATATCACACAGCATCCATATCCTTAGTGTGGTCCTCCATGAAAGTCTGGAACTGCTGCATCCTCTTGGACTTGTCGCCCCAGCGAGGTTCCGGGCCGAGACCCCGCCAGGCGCAGACCAGGGCCTGCGCGCTCTTCCTGGGCGATCAGAAGCTCGTAGGGCTTGAGGTGGGCACTCAGGTCTAGGATGTAAAGCTCAGGCTTGAAGATTCAAGGGCTAGGCTTTCAGGTATTTAAGCTTATAAGGGTTGGAAGTTAGGGAGGTTGAGGATTTGAGGCTTGGTGGGTTCAGGTTTACATTGTTTGCCGGGTTACACGAGCAAGGTGGCAAGGTGCATGATGATTTAGGAAAACAACCGACTCTGCGGCCATGTCCGACGTTTAGGTTTGCGGCTTGCCTAATGGTCCGACGTGCGCAAACAATCCTTGAATTATTCACTGGGCACAGGAAGAGGAAGCAAAGGTACGTGGTGTCCAAAGCTTCATGGCTCAAGCTACTTCTTGCCTTGCGTGGCTCACTTTGTCCACCAAACGCTTTGTCTTCGAACATGTCTCCTGAAACCTGAAGCTTAACACCGCGAGGTTGCTGTAAGCCCGAGCGGCAGACCGGTATTGAGGCCCCTCCCCGGCCAGAAGTGGTGCGAGATCGCGGCGTCGCCCGCCAGGGCCAAGATCTTCCCACTGGGGAGTTTGTGGAAGAAGCGGTGTACGTACCTCAAGGCTAGGCTTCTGACGAGGACAGCGCTGGTAGATTTATAGGGCTTCAGAAGAAGCAAAACTGGACGTTCTAATTCGGTTGAAGCCCTTTCGGTGCAAACCACCATGACGGTAGTGTGACATGAAGTTTAGGATCTACGTGCAGCGCTGGGGGTAGAGGCCTTGCTGTATACTCCAAGGCGCGATGGGATCAGCCGTATTCCAACAATCTCCCCTGCGTGCTGCTCCTGGAGACCAAACAACGCCAGTCCCTGCTTGATGGTCTCGGCCAGCCAATCCACTGGCTTCGGCAGCATACGCGGGCCTAGAGCTTGTCAAGTAGCATTAGAGCAACGGATCAGGCAAACCCAGTCAGACCGAAGCTCGGATGCTTTGCTCTCCGTTGCACCTAAAAAAAGCTAGATGCCCGCAACCTCAAATTGGTCCCAACAGGTGCCTTCGCTGGACTCTCTGCCGGTCACCTCCGCGAAGTCAGAATACAGGGTGACCGGGCTGCCGAACTCGCAGCCAACTCTCCCTGTCGCCTCGAAAAGCTCGTCGTACTCCTGCTTTGTTACACGGATGTTGAGGAAGCCACGCTTTCCTGACAAGGAAGCGCAATCAGTGTACCCATGGACAACTTGCGTTGTGCACTGCTATAGGTCTCTAAATATACTTTTCATGATGTGTTATGCACTAGTTGCTAGCTTCATCGCTGAACCTGCGGCAGAAGCGACCTACCCCCCTCACGGGCCTCTCTCAGAGTTGAGCAGGAAGCGAGTCTGGCTCAAGGTCAAGATGACGTTTTGGCTTTGCGGCCGGCCCTTGGATGGATCCGGGTCGTCCTTCAGCGCGACGCCTGAAGGTCCAAAGGCACACGCATACAATTCACGGACAAAGCCAAAGGATTCGATGCATAACCTCTATACTTGACAGGGTATGCTATTTCATGGGCCGCCTAGGGCATACTCCACCGGGTTGTAGATGTCGTTCGTGTCCCCCAGGCGCGTGCGGTCCGTGCTCTCCGGTGCATCCTCGCTCTGAAACGCCTCAGGGAAGGCCCGGCGACTCAACGAGGCCGCCCCATCAGCAGCCACCACGACGTCGGCCTCCAGGGCCTCGATGAACTCTTTATGCTCTGCAGGGGTCTGCGCCGCCCGGGTTCGTTTGATGCAGATGTAGGGGTGCCTGGCCGCCTTTTGAAGCAGGGAGTCCTCCAGGTCCTGGATTGCCACGTTGCAGGAGGAAGGCCAGACTCTCTCACCTTCAAAGGTCCCAGGAAGCCACAGCCCGGTGACATCGTCCTGGAGCGTCACCACCTGCCCCCTCCGGCGGCCCCGGCGCCGCCAGTGACCCTCTTCGCCTTCCACACGCGTCTCGTAGACGGACACGAAGGCAACGTCCCTGTCCCAGCTCTGTTCCTGCATCGAATCGGCGACTTTCAGCGACAAGGCCAAGCCCACAGGACCTGCACCCACCACGACCCAGCGCCTCAGGCTCTGTGTGCTTGTGGCGTACACCCTGTCCCGCAGTTCTGTGATGCGGCTTGACAACTGTGCAAACTCCGGGTCCAGCTGGATGGCCCTGTCGTAGTCCTCAATGGCGCCCTTGTACTCCCCGAGATGTTCCTTGGAATTTCCACGGTTGCAGAACGCAAGTGCGAAGTTCGGGTTCAACTGGATGGCCCTGTCGTAGTCCTCGATGGCGCCCTTGTACTCCCCGAGATTGTCCTTGGAACTTCCACGGATGTTGAATGCCATTGCAAAGTTCGGGTCCAACTGGATGGCCCTGTCGTAGTCCTCGATGGCGCCCTTGTACTCCCCGAGTTTTGACTTGGAATTTCCACGGTTGTTGAACGCAATTGCAAAGTTCGGGTCCACCTGGATGGCCCTGTCGTAGTCCTCGATGGCGCCCTTGCAATCCCCGAGTATTCGCTTGGAAAGTCCACGGTTGTTGAACGCAGTTGCGCAGTTCGGGTCCAACTGGATGGCCCTGTCGTAGTCCTCGATGGCGCCCTTGCAATCCCCGAGTTTTTGCTTGGAAAGTCCACGGTTGTTGAACGCAGTTGCGCAGTTCGGGTCCAACTGGATGGCCCTGTCGTAGTCCTCGATGGCGCCCTTGCAATCCCCGAGTTTTTGCTTAGAAAGTCCACGGTTGTAGAACGCAGTTGCCCAGTTCGGGTCCAACTGGATGGCCCTGTCGTAGTCTTCGAAGGCGCCCTTGTACTCCCCGAGATCGTCCTTGGAAAGTCCACGGTTGTTGAATGCAAATGCGTAGTTCGGGTCCAACTGGATGGCCCTGTCGTAGTCCTCGATGGCGCCCTTGTACTCCCCGAGATTGTCCTTGGAAAGTCCACGGTTGTTGAATGCAACTGCGTAGTTCGGGTCCAGCTGGATGGCCCTGTCGTAGTCCTCGATGGCGCCCTTGCACTCCCCGAGTTTTGACTTGGAATTTCCACGCTTGTTGAACGCAGTTGCGCAGTTCGGGTCCAACTGGATGGCCCTGTCGTAGTCCTCGATGGCGCCCTTGCAATCCCCGAGTATTTGCTTGGAAAGTCCACGGTTGTTGAACGCAGTTGCGCAGTTCGGGTCCAACTGGATGGCCCTGTCGTAGTCCTCGATGGCGCCCTTGCACTCACCGAGTTGTGACTTGGAATTTCCACGCTTGTTGAACGCAGTTGCGCAGTTCGGGTCCAACTGGATGGCCCTGTCGTAGTCCTCGATGGCGCCCTTGCAATCCCCGAGTATTTGCTTGGAAAGTCCACGGTTGTTGAACGCAGTTGCGCAGTTCGGGTCCAACTGGATGGCCCTGTCGTAGTCCTCGATGGCGCCCTTGCAATCCCCGAGTTTTTGCTTGGAAAGTCCACGGCTGTAGAACGCAGTTGCCCAGTTCGGGTCCAACTGGATGGCCCTGTCGTAGTCCTCGATGGCGCCCTTGCAATCCCCGAGTTTTTGCTTGGAAAGTCCACGGTTGTAGAACGCAGTTGCCCAGTTCGGGTCCAGCTGGATGGCCCTGTCGTAGTCCTCGATGGCGCCCTTGCAATCCCCGAGTTTTTGCTTGGAAAGTCCACGGTTGTTGAATGCAAATGCGTAGTTCGGGTCCAGCTGGATGGCCCTGTCGTAGTCCTCGATGGCGCCCTTGCACTCCCCGAGTTTGTCTTTGCGAAGACCATGGTCGACCGCAACGTGGCTAGTTTGGACAGTGCCCATGTCGCTGGCGCTTTGGAGAGCCGTGCCCTAGGCGGTTCTACTGAACATCTTCTGGCAACCTTAATGGATTCCAGGTTCTTGGGCTAAAGCCTGCCCCTGCCCAGGTACTCCTCTCAGGTTTCCGAGCCGAGCTATGCTGCAAGCAGCAAGCCAGTACTCACACGCTCAAGGGCGTCCAAAAGGCAGCCCTATGCAAAGTAGAGAATCCTTAAGATGATAAAGCATGAAACAAGGCTTTTTTTATGAATAACCCCATTGAGATTGCACCCGAAAGCCTTCATAAGGCCTAGGCTCGAAAGCCTGACTCCTCAAGCATAAGCTGCTTGGAACCCTTAACTCCCTTAACCCTAAATCCCCGAAACCCCCCAAAACTTAAAACCTCTAGAAAGCTCCAAAGCCTACAGGGCCTTTTGCCCCCTTTTGTATCCAGGCCTCTGCGAACAATGATTGTTGCCCCTAAAGCCCTTTTAATGCCCTCAAAAAGCCCCTTTAAAGCCCTTTTAAAGCCCTTAAACTCCCTGAAGCCCCAGAAGTCTAGAGCCTAAACCCTTTTGCCTAAACCCTAAACCCTAAACCCTAAACCCTAAACCCTAAACCCTAAACCCTAAACCCTAAACCCTAAACCCTAAACCCCTAGCTCCTCAGAGTCGGCTTGAGAGGAAGGCATGGCTGTGACCTCCGTCGGGCTGGGCTCCTGGAGGATGGCGGGGAGGGGGGGGGGGAGTAGGGCTTAGGGCCTTTAAACCCTTTAGGGCTGTTAGGGCTTTTAGGGCTTTTTAGGGCTTTTTAGGGCTTTTTAGGGCTGTTTGGGGTGACTTAGGGCTTTTAAGTCCTGGACCTGAAGCGCTAACCTAAAGAAGCCTAAGCCCAAGAAAACAAACCTGAATTAAACCCCAAACCCCGGAAGAACCTTTCGTGACTTGCCAAATGCCAGTAAACCTTCACCAAAAACCCCAAAACCCTGAAAAAAAAAAAAAAAAACTAAGCCCTAAACTCTCAAACACAACCCCCGAACTCCAAACCCTAAACCCTAAACCACGTTTAAACCCTAACGGTAAAACCCTGAAACCGGAACCCAAGGCCGATCTCCTCGAAGCTGGCGGTCGTTTGGAAGGAAGGCTGGCCGGCCACTGTGGGGCTGGCCTCCTGGAGCTGGGTTTAGGGTTTAGGGTTTAGGGTTTAGGGTTTAGGGTTTAGGGTTTAGGGTTTAGGGTTTAGGGTTTAGGGTTTAGGGTTTAGGTTTTAGGGTTGGTACTCTTCAGATCTAAATGCTTGGCTGTTTTCCTTGGGTTTCTTTCTTTGCGGGGTGGGGGTGCAGTTTAGGGGTTTGGGCTTAGTTTGCGACTTCGACATTTTTGCTTGTGGTCTCTTTTGTTTTGAGGATTCTTGGGGTCTTCGAGGGCTGACCTTTCTACGGCTGTGCGTGTGCCCTGGTGCTTGGAATGGAAGTCTGGGATTTGACGGTTGAGGATGTGTGCGGGGAACGGGACAGCGGGATCATCCTACAAGGGGTACTTATAACAGAACGCCTTGATGATCATAGGCAACAGGAACCCTAGTTGTGAAAGCCCCCTACAAAAAACCTTGACAAGTACTAGGCCCCCTAAACCCTAAACCCTAAACCCTAAACCCTAAACCCTAAACCCTAGACCGATTCCTTGTGCTGTTTTACTGCGGTGTTTCGGGCAACCTCGTCCCTGAAAAGGGAAGAAGGCACCACCGGGCATCCCTGAGCTCAAGCAACCTGCGGCTACTGGGGCTTTATAGGGTTTAGGGTTTTATAGGGCTTAGGGTTTAGGGTTTAGGGTTTAAGGTTTAGGGCTTTAAAGGGTTTAGGGTTTAGGGTTTTAGGGTTTGGGGTTTAATTAGGGTTTAGGTTTAGCGTTTAGGGTTTAGCGTTTGGGGCTTTGGGGGTCTTCAGCCCTTGAATTTGACACCCAATCCATCACTCATGGTCCTTAGCCTTAGTGACTGTGTCACCTTCTGTCTTACGTGACCTCTTTTTTGAAGGGTTTTTGGGACCCTTCCTCCCCACTGTCTGAATCACTGGAGCACCCTCATAAGGTCCTCATGGCTGGTCGCCATCTCGAAGGACGGCTGGCCAGTGACCGCCGTTGGGCTTGGCTCCTTTCCAGAGAGCCCAACACAACTTAGTTCAAAAGAGAATATGCCCTAATTCCAAACATGAGGAACCAAAACTAAAGGCATACTCTTTAAGGAAGGGGTCTTGGATAGTAAGCGAAGGTTTCAGAGTCTCGTGCTCCAGCGGGCCTCCATTTCCCTGCACACCCGTTGAGTTCCAGGAAACAGAACCATCTACGCCCCACGTCTGGTTCTTTACAGTCCAGGTTCAAGGTTCGACTTGAGTTACTCGTCGGAAGCTGGTGTTTGGGGTTTCATAAGCAACCAGCAGCTGCAGTGTTGACGGGTAGGACTCCATCCCCAGCCCCCTGCAACCACAATGCTAAAACTCGAAGCAGGTTGCACCATGCCCCTCAAGCCGCACATGAGGTCACGTAGTTCTGGAACAACTATCAACACCTTGATTACGACAGGCAACAGGAACCCTAGTCTTGAAATGCCCGGATCCGTTTTGAAGGGTTTCTGGGACCCTCACTATCTGACCACTGAATCACCCTCATGAGGTCCTCATGGCTGGTCGTCGCCTCGAAGGACGGCTGGCCAGTGACCGCCGTTGGGCTTGGCTCCTGTCCAGAGAGCCCAATCGACTTGAGTTACTCGTCGGAAGCTGGTGTTTGGGGTTTCATAAGCAACCAGCAGCTGCAGTGTTGACGGGTAGGACTCCATCCCCAGCCCCCTGCAACCACAATGCTAAAACTCGAAGCAGGTTGCACCATGCCCCTCAAGCCGCACATGAGGTCACGTAGTTCTGGAACAACTATCAACACCTTGATTACGACAGGCAACAGGAACCCTAGTCTTGAAATGCCCGGATCCGTTTTGAAGGGTTTCTGGGACCCTCACTATCTGACCACTGAATCACCCTCATGAGGTCCTCATGGCTGGTCGTCGCCTCGAAGGACGGCTGGCCAGTGACCGCCGTTGGGCTTGGCTCCTGTCCAGAGAGCCCAACACAACTTAGTTCAAAAGAGAATATGCCCCGATTTCAACTATGAGGCCCTAACAAAAACTAAGTGCATACTCTTTAAGGAAGGGGTCTTAGAGAGAGAGAGAGAGAGAGAGAGAGAGAGAGAGAGAGAGAGAAAGAGAGAGATCTTGCCTGGCTGCCTCCATTTCCCTGCACACCTGTTGAGTTCCAGGAAACAGAACCATCTACGCCCCACGTCTGGTGCTTTACAGTCCAGGTTCAAGGTTCGACTTGAGTTACTCGTCGGAAGCTGGTGTTTGGGGTTTCATAAGCAACCAGCAGCTGCAGTGTTGACGGTAGGGCTCCATCCCCAGCCCCCTGCAACCACAATGCTAAAACTCGAAGCAGGTTGCACCATGCCCGTCAAGCCGCACATGAGGTCACGTAGTTCTGGAACAACTATAAACACCTTGATTACGACAGGCAACAGGAACCCTAGTCTTGAAATGCCCGGATCCGTTTTGAAGGGTTTCTGGGACCCTCACTATCTGACCACTGAATCACCCTCATGAGGTCCTCATGGCTGGTCGTCGCCTCGAAGGACGGCTGGCCAGTGACCGCCGTTGGGCTTGGCTCCTGTCCAGAGAGCCCAACACAACTTAGTTCAAAAGAGAATATGCCCCGATTTCAACTATGAGGCCCTAACAAAAACTAAGTGCATACTCTTTAAGGAAGGGGTCTTAGAGAGAGAGAGAGAGAGAGAGAGAGAGAGAGAGAGAGAGAGAAAGAGAGAGATCTTGCCTGGCTGCCTCCATTTCCCTGCACACCTGTTGAGTTCCAGGAAACAGAACCATCTACGCCCCACGTCTGGTTCTTTACAGTCCAGGTTCAAGGTTCGACTTGAGTTACTCGTCGGAAGCTGGTGTTTGGGGTTTCATAAGCAACCAGCAGCTGCAGTGTTGACGGTAGGGCTCCATCCCCAGCCCCCTGCAACCACAATGCTAAAACTCGAAGCAGGTTGCACCATGCCCGTCAAGCCGCACATGAGGTCACGTAGTTCTGGAACAACTATAAACACCTTGATTACGACAGGCAACAGGAACCCTAGTCTTGAAATGCCCGGATCCGTTTTGAAGGGTTTCTGGGACCCTCACTATCTGACCACTGAATCACCCTCATGAGGTCCTCATGGCTGGTCGTCGCCTCGAAGGACGGCTGGCCAGTGACCGCCGTTGGGCTTGGCTCCTGTCCAGAGAGCCCAACACAACTTAGTTCAAAAGAGAATATGCCCCGATTTCAACTATGAGGCCCTAACAAAAACTAAGTGCATACTCTTTAAGGAAGGGGTCTTAGAGAGAGAGAGAGAGAGAGAGAGAGAGAGACCTTGCCTGGCTGCCTCCATTTCCCTGCACACCCGTTGAGTTCCAGGAAACAGAACCATCTACGCCCCACGTCTGGTTCTTTACAGTCCAGGTTCAAGGTTCGACTTGAGTTACTTGTTAGCTGGTGTTTAGGGTTTCTACAGTAGCCTGCAGCTGCAGTTTTGACGGGTGGGACTCCATCCCCAGCCCCCTGGAAAGGTGAGTCCCCAGTTCTAAATCTCGGAGCAGGTTGCACCATGCCCGTCAAGCCGCACATGAGGTCACATAGTCCCAGAACAACTCATCCCCCACACAGCCGTAGGACTGGCGCATTTGTTATGATGATTATAGTATGCTGAGTATGTATATATATATGTGTGTATACAAAAATAATATATATATATATATATTTGGTGTTATGGTTACTGTCAGTATTTTATTCTTCTTAGTATTTGTGTAATTTTCCCCGAATGTTACCCTCAAAATGTGAACACGTCTCTCCTAGCATCCCAGGCATGGACCCACCTCAGCAAGCCTGCAAGCCACGGAAGCCTCCCAAAGCCCCCCCCCCCCAAGCCCCCAAAGACGGG